ACATCATGAACACAGGACACCTAACTCCTCCTGGATCAGATTTCACAACGAATTGCACCGCTCCTTCTTACTAACTGTCTGGGGAGGACATTTAAGCATGGCAAGGCTCCATAGTATTTTAGCATCTTGCATCATTTTGTCTGTTAAAGCCACCTCTCTCATCACGAATCGTGTTGTAATAACTGTTACTCCATTTATACTGTTTACTGCATAAACGTCAATAAATTTTGATAACCGGATTATGTTAAATAATGCATAACTCCACCAGAGTAAAATTTTGCGGCGTATTGCATCACCTCTTTGATCCTAGTGGCTTAGAGTCAGGACTGTATTCTTAAGCATGCCGTGGCTCCATGGTTAACACATGAGGCAATCAGTTGCTCAGTCGAATCTTAAAACCCTGGCTACATTACGGCGCGTATTCTATGAATATCTTTAGAATAAATGAGGTTACCAAAAATGAACGCAGTTATTAAGAATCTGCTAACAAACAGTAAGCTTTCAGTATCGCCGGTAAGAATAACATTCTCCTGTGAACTCTCAGGATTTACACGGCGAAACGCACTATACCTTGCTTCTAATAGGCACCAAGGACCTGTGGCCTATTAAAAGATCCCTTATGCTACTATTAGAAGTGACGGGCCGGTGCGATTTACCATGTAAATCCGGAGAATTGACAGGAGAATGTTAAGTGTGGTTACCTTTATTAATATAGTTACTTTTTAACGATCCGTAGCAGAGGTGTGAATGATTTTTATTCAATCTTCATTATTCTCAGTACTCATCTATTTGCTGTCCTTTTGGTTATTTTTGTTCTTTGCCTGTGATCATACTCAAGCTGTTTTCTCGGTGTTTGACAAATTCATCCCATTTATCGAATATTTACTATTTCAGCTCATCCAACATACTACCCTGGAATTTTTTCGGCCTAAGCTTACTCAAAGCGTGACAACTGTAGGTTTAAAGTTGTATCACTTCATTACCCGGCATTATATTCAGCAGAGGTGTATTTAGTTTCCCGGCCGCATCGTAGAATCTACAATATGCAGCTTTATTTCACACGATAGGTTTGGTCTTTCCATGTCAGAATGCAGCTTTTTTGGTGTTACTTAGTTCTTCCTACTCATTCTTCGTATCGTCCTATTCATTCCTCTTCAATCTGTTGACAGAGCATGCATGGATTAGCTTTTCCCTTCATTTCGTAATATTCTTATTATTTAATATTTAGTAATTCGGCATCTTTGAGCATCACAGGCATCTAAAATGGAGGACATTTGTAGTAGATAGGGCTGTGTTCAGGCAGAAAACTTAACAGAAGGAGCAGAATACGGTGACGTTCTCGTGGAATCACCCATTTACATGACGCAGAAGCAAATAAAACTTAAAAGCAATAGTAATTACTCAGGTTACTATTTGCTATATATTTTGCTTCATCAAAGTTAAAACATCTAAATCAGGGTTACACTGTGTTGACAGTTGTGCTACTGCCAAATTTTTCGTCTAGCATTGTTTTTCTGTCTGTCAACATTCGTCTCGTTGCTAAAATCTGTTTTTAACCCTTTATAAATTTTGTCAGTGTTCATTCCTCTCGTGTTCTTCGTGCATTTACAGCTTAAATTGATAGATGACCCACTTCTTTTCTTACCACTTCAAAACCACTTTGCTTGTATGTATGCAAACGAAACCAAAAGCTAATGATGAGTAATGCATCTTACTGTCTTTGCGGATTGGCGTACTGCTTCCTTTCTACCTTTAACTTCTGACCCGTAAAGGAGAGGAACCTTTATCAGCTTTCATGTACTTAAACAGTACCTCCGCATACTTAGAGATTCTTGCCGTCTTTTTTTCACTTTTTGAATTGACTTCGCAACCTTTTCTAAAGGGAGATTCATGAACTTTGGTACTTTGTTAATCGTTATATTATCAGTTTAAATCCTGTAACTTCATTATCTGACGACGTTTGCAGAAAGACGAGCGAAAGAGGCCGATGAACAGATCCGACAAATTGCACGAAAGGCCCGGGAACAGCATCGACAGCAGTCATTGCTGATGTCAGAAAATTTTCGGAAACACCCTATCAGGTGCTTGATTTTTGCATACGAATTAAACTTTTTATGACCTGATAATTGTGAGCGGAAAGTGGTTTTTCCAAAATTTTCTTCCTACTGACAGTCGTAAAATCCTATCATTTCTATCTCATAGCAGCAGAAATAGGTAAAATCTATTATACCTGTTGACTCTACTACTACGTGAGTGCAGCGTGTAGTTGCCTCCCCTTCCCATGTAATGGTGTACATTTACTTGTATTGAAATTTTAAATTAAAGGCCTATTTTCAGACTGTGACTAAATTAGCTCGGTATGACCACTACGAAATGATACAGTCGTAGAGAAAATTCTTTGCGGTTTGAAAGATATCAGCGAAGAAAGGGGGTATTCGTGATAAACAATCATTGGTCACTGACCTATGGAGGATAATAAGGCTAAGAAGCATTAGCCACCAGTCTCGCTAAGTTGGTTTTCTAATGCATTCATACCTTCACCATTTTTAAGGGTAGTCATTCTCTCATTTTTCATATACGTATATTCGTTTTTAGAGCTACGTCGGCCCGTAGTATCAAACCACATTCGCGGCTGTCGGTTATTCAGTGGTACCGCAACGAAGAGTATATTCGAGGCGTAGGTGTGGACAGGATTACAAATCATTTCGCACCATGGTTCCATGGCCTTATTGACCGTGAAGAAGCTGAGTTGCTGCTTAAATTTCAGCCTGTCGGTTCGTTCCTCGTTCGTCTCAGCGACCGTATTCTGGGCTACGTCATCTCGTGTCAGGCGGCACTGAAGGTGAAGCACTTCTTGGTAGAGAGAACTGAAGAAGGATATCAGTTTTTTGGCTCAGAGCAGATGGTCCACGCTGATCTGTCAGACCTCGTTGCATTTCACAAAGTAAGCATGCCCTGCCATACTGTAACCTTACCTACACTAGTGTTTGTCATCTGATTACGCTGAAGGAACCAACCTTTTTATTCAGTGTAAAAACTGATGATTCTTACCTGCCTAGCATACGATTGTCAAGTTAACAGAGGATTTTCAGACAGTTATGCAGATATTGTATTTTATTTTTAGCTCTTTTTCCAGGTCCCTGCTGAGATTTTAACATAAGATGAATGAAACCAACCGATAGGGGAGTTAGTCTCGCTTTTCTACGCTGTCATACGGAGAGTAAAACTATACTTAACCAGTGTAATTAACCACTTTAAATAAAGGATAAATATGATTACCTTAGGGGTCCAAGCGATTAACCAGCCGCGACTGACTACATCGAAATCTACTCGGAAGAAGAAAAGTACCTAGAAACAACAAATTCACCTTTAGATTGGGTTTAAAACGCAACTTAACAGCATAACTTATTTTTATCATAACATTATATGCTAACTAGTATTAATAATTACGCTTTTTTTTTTAAGAAAGTGCCGATTACGCAGACTGGGTTGGAGCTCCTGCTCATACCGGTCGGCCAACAACGCATACCTCCTGATTATGCTGAATTGTTACCGAACACTTTCGATTGATGAGCTGTGGCTTCACAGCCCACTTCAAACTGGAAGTCCAGGATTTAGAGCAGTTTTGTTGCACAACGCTTATAGTTGACATTTCACCGATGTTCTCACTTCAGAACAGTTTTATACTGGAGTGTAATCGATCTCTGTATGTTTCGATCGATCGATCAACAGTACGAGATCTTTGGTTATGTTTTGTTTTTATTACCTGATGAGCGAATCTTTTTCGAAAACTCATTTTGGTGCATTCTGTGATCTGATATTTATTGATTACTGTTTAAAAAGGCAACTTTTTAAGTTAGTTTTACTTGTACATAATAAAGTTATGTTTACAAGGAAAGCATTAGTACCATGTACAGAAAATAGCACTCTTTTACGTACTGGCATGTGGTAGTAGGTTTAGTCAGTGCAATAAAAGTAGTAAGTTTAGTCACTATCAAAAGTAGTAAGTTTTATCTTCCACGGTCCATCCGCGCAATGCACACTTCTTCGACGTCATCCTTTACTCCTGGTTCTCCACATCGTCCTCGATTTTCGGTGCCAAATAGAATCTTATGTAACCAGTGTCTTCAATGGCGTACTCGACGACTGAAACGAAAGTGATATATGTGTATGTTCACTGTAAGTCCAATAAGCACCTATGTTCCCCATGTTCTAACGCTCAGTTGATTAAAACTTACCAATCGGTACGTCGTTCGACAGGGACAGCTGGACAACCGAAGCCAACGGAGCTGCCTTTGCGAAATTTGCCAGATATTTGATGGCAAAAGTGACGCAGCACGGTTCCCGCATATCGATGTGCACCGGTTCTCCGTCCTTTTCGATCGACGCTCCCTGACTCAGTCGAACCGATCCTGAACACAGCTAGTAAATAAGTGTCTGATTCACATTTTTGACGTGCATAACTCCTAGCTGTCTGCCATGAACACAAGCGAGCCCATTAAAGTGTCCACAGATATCATGATCAGGATACGCCATCTGCTAAATTATCCGCACATTAAATATTACTGTAGAGCCTCTAAAGGGAGAAATGACTGTGTAGACAGCGCTGACGGCAATTTTGCGACCAACTATACTTAACCTGCGCATTAAAGCACCGTACTATGTTTATTCATCAGGTCTCGTAGCGAAAAAAGTGATAAGTTATTGTCTAAATAGGCATTATGCCTCCTTTTCTTGATTCATGTTTCAAGGCAACGGGTTATTAGGATGAAGCATAAAGCATAGACAACTCTTTATTCACAAACGTTTTAGTACCACACACAAAGTGTTAATAAAATATCGTTTGAAATGAGTTGCCTTGAACCATGAACCGATAAATGAAGAGGTATAATCGCCTAATCTAAACTGATATGAAATATAACTCGAGTGATGCACCTCAAATGCAACCGTGACTATGGAATTTAGCTTTGAAGCTCCCATTGCACGGATAGTTGGTCAGCTTACCGAATTTCATTCACAAAGTATTGGTGGCATAATGGCCACCGCCCATTCCACTTAATATTTACGATGTTAAATACCGTATTTTCCCATCGATACGCGCGCGTTATCTATATAAAATAGTCCAGTCAACGTAAAAAGCAACGTTACACATTATGCAGTGAAAAACGAAAAAATTTCGGCCAGCACTAGAGGATGAACGACGGATATACAGATTGTTTCTTTTCATACATCTGAATGCTCATAATGAGTAAGCTTAAAAAATTTCTATTTTGTCCTTTTCTGCAATAAAATACTGGTTGTTGACACCTTATGTCCTTTCAATCTCTATAAGAGATCTCCCACCAGAAGCATCTCTCGTACCTTGTTGCACGTTTGTTCTCTTGTAAACATTTTAGAACCGCTTCTCGTTTCCTCCATTCTATTACATTGGACTCTCCAACATTAAATTTCCTGGCTTGCTCATGATTCCCTTTTACTTTCGCGAAATTAACGGCTTCCAGCCTAAACATTGCTCTAAGATTTTCTGCGTCCAGTATTTTTTTCTCCTTGGAAAACTTTCTCAGGAGCAACTTTCAATTTCAAAAACTAAACACTTGCAGATTACGCATGTTTAAAGACCAGAAACAATATGGCGACTTTTGTTAATTCTTGTTTCATTTGTTTTACATAGTCAACCAGTCACATTATTCATTTGTCCGAAAATTCCCTATTTTCAGACAATAAATAAACAACACGTTATCCGTACATTTTCATGAGGATTAAATATTATAAGGTGCGCGTTATCGATGCGAAAATACGGTACTTAATATAATCTACTGTGACATAAATAGTAACAAGCATGCAAATTATGCAACTATCCTTCCATTCAAGAAGTTACGAAATTTCTAGTTCAACAAAACACTCGATAAAAATTTCAACCCTACAGTCTTTCAATCATACATACGAATAAGTCAATGAACTGCAACAATCGAAAAACGATTAACCTGATCCAAGATCGCCCTTGGCGGAAAAAGCGATGCTTCCCTTTGAACAAGTAATCATCAGACTCTCGCCGATTTGCGACAGGTCACGGCAGATGCGAGCAAATTCAGTGCTAGGCATCTTGATCACGCACGAATATTCCGTCTCCTGAAAACCAACAGTAAAGCGTCTTTTTTGTAGTACAACCCGTTATTTTTATTCGTTCACTAATGATCAGTTTCTATAAAACAGCTTAGGCTTATAATTATTAACTGTTAGCTGCCGTCTGACTCTGAATGCTACAGAACCTCAGTTCAGAGTCTTACAAGAACAACAGTTTCACGACTAGGCCTATAAGACTGATGGTTAAAAATTTAGCCTATCGTGAATTGATACATGAGTATGACAACGGACGTGTAAATTTGTGAACTGCCAATTAACAACTTTACAATGGGCCAATCACCAGTAATACCGTATTTATTGATTCTACGCTGTCATGCCAAAAAGTGGGAATACGGCAAAATGAATACAGAATCATATAATCTCATCGGCTATAATGTTCGCCAGAAACCTCGAGACGGTTTCAGAAATATTATTTAACGAATGGAGTATCTTTCCTCTGTTAGTTATTCATAAATTCTATTTCGACTCCGCAACACCTGAATGTCTGAAATTCTTTTCATCCACCTCCCTACAGAAATGGGCAAGTAAAGAAAAAAACATCAGTAGTGGTTCACGACTGATAGATCTCTTCCTAGCATTCAGGCGAAGTGGTTCACAAGAACTCATTAAATATGCTGGTCATTTCTGTATTTACCATGGAACAGAACAGATGGGAATTTTTCAGCACTATACGTTCTGTACCAGTGTGAAAAGAAAAGTTTACGTCGTTGGCGCTATCGACCTCTCTCACTTCTATGATGCATTCTGTTGACAACGGCCTTCTTTCGAAGGGCTGATGGTGCAGTACTGATGTTTCGGCGCAACCAGTCAAGACTGGCTGACTTTTCAAGGCAGCACTACAGCAAAAAGACATCCTATAATTTACCCTGCCTCTTCCCGTAAAGAGAAGCCTACTTGCTTGTCCACCTAAACGTAAACCTGCGAATTTTCGACTGAACTGTCTTAGCCAACAGAAGCAAAATGTGACAAATTCGTTCCCCTGCCCTCGTGATCAGTATATCATGGTTACTTCTTCAACATGAATGGCTTTAGACGTAAAACAAATTCGTATTGAAACGGTGGCGAGTTTTAAAGAACATTGGCTTGCATTGAAATGATATTCAGAAAACAGCTATCACATCCATTTCTTATTCCTCTTCGTGTCGCTCAAGCGGCAGTATTCTACAATCAATCATAAGCAACCAACGTCTCTATAAGACATCAGCTTCTACCTGGCTTTACTCATTCGGTAGAGCGTCGAACTTAAAACCGCGGAATCCCGGGTTCGAGCTCTGGTCGCGTCACTTGCCTTACTGCCTTCCATGGTTAATAAATAAGATCATCCTATGGAAAAAAAACAGGAGCACATTACGCTGGCCACATACCTGTAGATTATGTCCTTTTAAAAAAAGGCCCTCCTCTGATCGCGTAGAAACTTTAATCAGTGCTGAATCACAAGCTTCATGAAATGAAGGGTGCTATCAATGTTCTCCAGTTATGAAACTAAAAGGGAGACAGACATCCAAACTGTTCTTTTTTCTGCATTAAAGGTTTGACCAGGGACTCAATAAAGAAAAAACTCAAAACAATGTTCAGTATCTTGTTATCGCTTACCGGAATTCCAAGATGTTCCGTATCCAGATCCATCAATTTAATCTCGTACTGGCTATGTCTATCTTGATCTAAATAAAATATTATCAGCGAGATTCGCGCAATAAATCAATATTATACCTTG